TATGGCCTTAGGGTATGGTATGTATCTTTCATGTACTTCCCGTTTTCAATAAAAAAATAACACCTTGTATAAATCGATTGACTTTGGCGTTGTACCAATCACACACATTAAAAACAAGATTGGGCTACGCTCCATGGAATTCTACCTCTAAATAATTATAATATTATTATTTTAAAGAAACATTTTTTTTAAATTCTTTTAAAGAAACATTTAAAAGTCAAAACTCGTGCATCGCACATTTTTGGGCATATATAGCATGTATTCGTTAATTTTTTTTTATTAAATATAAAATACTTTCGAAGTAATACACTTTTTAACTCCATAATGTGATAACGTTAATCAAAACAAAAAAATAAACAAAAAAAAATATCATATTATAAAACTGCAAGTTTCAATAAGAAAACGACAGAAATATAATTTTATATTTTAAATCATTTTTTAAATTATGACATCCGCAACATGACGTGAATTCACCTACTTGCCATGAATGCTCAACTACCAAAACAACGGCCACACTCAACCTTGCAAAATCCAAGCCATACACAGCTCATAGACTCATGAGAGCCGAACAACTTTGAGTGTCAATTTAATAAAAGAAATATATTTTAATAATAACAATAAAGTTATTAGATAAGTTTGGATCAATTTGTTTTAAATTTAAAGTATTTAAGTATAACGGTATTTTAGTCCGTGTAATATATAAATATGTATATTATATATAATTAAAATTTATAATCAATTATGTATATCAATCAATATTATGTTAAAATATATGAATTATATTTAAAATTAATATATATAAATATTTTTTAAATATATAAATTATATTTTAGATTTATGATAAATAATTTATATTGTAATAAAATTTTATATTTAATTTTTTATAATTTATTTTACAATATTCTTATTTAATTCATAAATAATTATGATAAATAAAAAATTAAATTAGAAAAAAAGTTTAAAAAAATCCTTACAAATTCTCTTGTTGTAGAAAAATTCCTAAAAAATATTCTTGAACAAAATAGAAGTTTGTATTTAATATATGTTTTTCTTAAAATTATTTCACAAAATAATAATAATAATAATAGTAATAAAAAAATAAGAAAGAGATTATGAAAATGAATTACTAGAATTTTTCTTATTACATGTGACTTTTCATGCGAATTTCGTATAAAAAATCGTAACAAACAATGTTTCTACGAATTTTTTTACGAAATTTTATCTCTAGATAATATTTTTGTGGAAAATGTGTTTGAAAATTTTAAAATTCACAAGAAATTTTCCTGTGAAATTTCTTGCGAAAAAAATTCGCAAGAAAGTTTCTTGGAATTTTTTTTCGAACTTTCTTCCCTGTGAATTTTTTTGCAAGAAAATTTCTTACAAAAATATCAAAGAAATCACTAGAAATTTTATTAAGAATAAGAAATTTGCTTCCACGTCTCGAACATGTGATACATAATCTTTTAAACTCTTAGATTGTAGATTATAAGTCTGACACTCAACCATACAAAATCAACTTGTAAGGTAAATGTTACCCTAACTTACATACTTTTTAATTGTTTTATTTTCAATTGATGTGGAACTTCAAGTTTTCTTTAAATATTAATTAGATTATGTATTTAGAAAGAGGATTAATTCATTATATTGAACAACAAAATTATATTATTATAAATTATTTTAACTCTTAATATATTCAATATTCTAAAAAAAAGTTAGTTTTTTTATTAAATAATTTTATTTTAAAAACTATCATTAAATTGAAACTCATCATTAATTTATACATTTAATTAAAATAAATATTTAATTTATTAATATTTAAAATTAAAATTAATTTTTATGAAATCTTTATAAAATAATTTAGTAAAATAATATTTTATTGAGTAAATACTTATAATTTTAAGATTTTACAAATTATCATTAAATTAAAACTCATTATCATTAACTTATCATATTTATAAAATTATATATATATATAATTTAATTAAAAATAAAATTAAAATGAATTATAATGATATATTTGTAAATAATTTATTAAAATAAAATTTTTAATTAAAAATATTTTAATTATTAAACTTATAAATTTAACCATTTTTTTTATTTTTCTAGTGGATTAAAATTGGTAGGAAAATCCGTAGAAAAAGTTACTTGCAAAATTTTTCTATAATTTAGTAAATATTACTTGTGAATTTATTTTTACAAGAAAATTTACAAGAAAGAAAATAAAATTCTTACAACAGTTTTTTGCTAATTTTTATCATAGAAAGAAATTTCTATGATGATTAAAATTGTAGCAAAATTTACAAAAAAAATTGTAAATTATTTTTATAAAAAATTTGTAAGAAATATTTATAAATTATTTTTTGCAAATAAATTTACAAAAAACATTTATGAAATTATTATCACAAGAAAATTCGCAAAAAAATTTATAAAAAAATGACACTTTTCTAACGGTGAAATTTTGCATTTAATTTTCGAGTACTTGCCTAGCTTTCGGTCTTAAATAACATTGGCGATCCATGTTTTTGAGTTAATAATGTGTTTTCTAAAAGCTTATTAACAAAATTTGAAGTAATTACTTTGCCGCATGCATGTTTCGTTTTATAGAAGTGTATAGAGAAGAAAAGAAAGAAATTACCCGGTCTTTTGGTGAGCAGATGAAAAAGAGAATAAAGTGGAGAAAAAAAAATGTGAAATTCATTAGCATAAAATCTCATTCTATGAAGTAAGACATTTCTACCAAGTATATATACTTTACTTTTTACATGATAATCCTCTTTCAATAATTGGCTTAAGTTAATTACTTGAATTAAAAATATTTTATAAAATTAATTAATAAATTAACTGATAAATATCAAATATATGAAAAATTATATTTTATTATTTGTGAAAAATTATATTTTATTATTTGAGAAAAATATTTAATTAACTTATTATTTGAATTTATGAAAGTAAATTAGACACTACTAAAAATAAGTTCATGTACTAAATAAATTTATTTTAATTTACTAAATTATAAGTTCTTAGAATGTGTTGACGAATACACTATATCTTACTTTATGACATAAAGAGGTAAATGGTTTTATTTTATTCTCTTCTTTTCATTGTTTAGTACTTTACTCAACCAAAAATGTAAATACAAACTAATTTCTCGTTTACCTTTTTTTTTTTTTTTTTTTTTTAAATTCATGCAACTTAAAAATTTATGATTTAATTATTCTTTTGATCCCTGTATTTTATAGAATTTATTTTTTGTTTTCTATTGTTAAAAAATTTTACTTTAATCTTTAACATATAATTTTTTTGTTTCCTTATAGATCTATTTTTATAAGAATTAAAATATATAATTTATAAAATTATAGATATTAAAAAAAAACAAAAAGAGTATATGACTAACTTAGGACTTGAGGAGAGAAAATTATTTTGAAAGCTGAAAATCTCACATAAGGTATCTTGGAGTGGTGCTCGGGTAGGCCATTGTTTGGAAAACCCTCTTAAAATAGGTGTGTCTCTTGGAGTAGGTTTTGAGGTGTGTAAAGTCTCCTCCAAGTCCTTAGTTAGTGGTTGAGTAAGGTAGGAGGTCAAGGGTTACAATCCTTAACTAAGTACTTAGAAAGGTTGCGTGGTTCCTTGAGGATAAACAATTGGTGAATTCCATTTGTGACTTGGTAATGCATGTCAAGGTTGTGGTAAGCTTATACCTAATTGTACTATTCCTAATGGTAAATCGAACTTTCTTAGTATAAGTGATGAGACCCAAGAAATAGGAGGAAGGATTGATATCCTATTTTGTTGTGATCGAGTCGAAGCTTCAGGCATGAAAACGATTGGATTGGTTTAGTAGGATGGAAATCATTTAGACTGGTTATGTTGTTAGGGGATCACCATAGATGAATGTGTGACGACATAGTGGTTGATATATTGCATACGATGTGTGTTCATATGTATTATTGATGTCTTGTGTGACATGGATTGGATGAGATACATGTTTACTTGGGATGTGGTAGTTTTCATGTATGATTATGGAGTGATGTTGTATATATTATATAGTTGTTTTTCTATATATATATATATACACACACACACATTTTATTTTTTGTTTTGAGGTGTTTATATATATATATACATACATGTTTTCAAACTCTAGCTTATCCTTTTATGTTTCCATAATAGTTTAGATTACGGTGATCATACGTTATATGAGAGTAGAATAGGGTTAGGGATGAGGAGTTACTGTTGGCAAGGGCGTGATATTTTTTTGTGGATGACGGTACTACTACATGTAGCTTATATAGTCATTTTCTACTGACACTAGGATATAATATTATTAGAGATTACTATACACATATATATGACTTATTTATATTAATTCAGATGTTTTACTTTTATATTGATGTTATATGTATATATGTATGATGCATTTTCTTCCTTTAATCCTATATGTCTAAAAACATTCAATTTTTGCTACTAGAAGTAGTGATCTCATTTAGAGTGCCAACCATGGCGGATCATTACAACATAGGCTAAAATGACAAATTTTAAATTTTAAGACTAAAATAATATTTTTCATATTTTGAAGACTAAAAGCATATATTTTAAATTTGATAGGCTTAAAGAATATATACATAGATTAAAACGATTTTTTAAAAAATTTTATAGGAACTAAAAACATGAATTTTAAATTTGAGTGGAAAAAATATTTTTAAATTTAGAGGACTAAAAATATAATTAACTTTTTAAAAAAAAACTTTTTCATTTTTTTTTAAATAGACACAATACTGGTTTGTGTATTTTATATTTATTATATTTTATATTTATTTTATACCTTTCTCTTATTTTTATCTCTCTCTTGCGAGAAGATGTTAATTTATAAAAAGCATTGCTCTTTTTTAATATTTCATAAGCAAACATGTCTTATTGCGTATTAATTTAATAAGCACGAATTTGGACTTTCACTTAAATAAAAATGTAGTTGAGAAACTTTCTTTAGGAAGTAGTAGAAACAGGATCGGAGGCAGAGTAATTTCATATATTACTTTGAAAAAATCTTAATGCTGTGTACGACTTTGTGTTGGAGAGAGAGATTTGAAACAGAGAAGAAAAACATATAAATTACAGACAGGAAAATAATAGTCAAATATTACCGGTGGCGCCGGTCAACGGTTGTTAAACCTCTCTCTAAAGCTCTCTCCTTCTCTCTCTTGTGCTTGGTCTTTGAATTCTGTGGAGGAGCTTCTTGGGTTCTCGGAGTTTTTACCTGTTCTTGGTCTGATCCAAAAAGGCTGAATTTTGTTGTTTTTGGAGAAAATTCTGCTTTTCAATTTCTGGGTTTCCAAGTTTGGTTTAGAAGGAAATGGCAGTAAGTTTTTTTATTTTTGTTTTATTTTTTATTTTTGTAATGTTTTCATGTTGTTTGATGGTTTGGTTGTGTATCATGTGTCTGTGATTGGTGTGAAAACTGTGGAGAAGGGTAAGGAAATCTCAATTTAGTTTCAATCTCTTACATCATTATGTGGTGTGTTTTGTGTGTTAGGTGGAGGTTTTGTTTTCCTTCACTGGTTATCTCTTTTGTTCATCTTCTGAAGCTTTGACATAGTTGACGAAAATTAGAGGCTTACTTTTTTTTGGTCAACTCTTTGTCTCCACAGAAATTAGCAGCTTCATCTTTCTGCTTCTTGGAAGCATGAAGCAATTCAATTAGAATCTCATTATGCAAAGTTTTCTTGGTTTTATTTCCTTTTTCTGGGAGCTGGTTTCATAAATCATGCAGCGTTAACAATTTGGCTTAGCCTCGTGAATACTGAATTGAGTCTTGTTTTGATTTCATGGATTTCTGACTTATTGTTTCTAATGAATTGGTCATGTTTCAATTCATTGAAATTTCTAGTTGGAGGTGTAGTGACTTGTAAATTTAATTTTTGGTGGATTCAAAATATTGCAAATTTAGCAGCTTATTGAATTGTAACTAAGGTTTGTTCTTTTGCTATAATCTGATGTCTAAGTTATATATACAACTTCAACGAACTGTGGTATTCACGTTTGAATTTGTCGCATTGGTTTTGTACTGTTTGTTTTTCTGGACATTTTATGCACGTGGGTTTTGGTGTCTAAATGTCTACAACGGCGAGAGTTTTATAACGTGAGATAAATTTTATTGGACATAAGACCTGCAATTTCCAATGGTCCTGAATGTTGAATAGTACAGTGCAAACAATAGAAAAAATGTCAGTTCAATGATTGTGGCACGGATGACTCTACTTCTGTGTCAAAAATAGTCCTAATTGGTATAAGTAATTAATTATTACAGCCTGATTGCATTTTTGGCTCTTTAATTTAAATTTGAGAAACCAGTTCCTCAAAGATCAACATGCACTCATTGTAGAGTTGGTCTACATGTTATTGCTAACAAGTAATAGGACTGCTTAAACCATAGGATGAAAAATCAGGATTAGCTACTTATAAACAGGTGGTGTCCAGTCATTTTTCTTGATAGTTAAATGGTGTACTGAATAAAGATAGCTCTCATAGTTCTGACTAAAATATGCCTGAACAATTTTGAGTTTGGTACGGTATGTTAAGAAGTTAAGGAGTGCCAAATATTGATCATATGAATTATTAAGGGAATTAAAATACCATTAGTTGTGAATTTTGTTGAGGAATACCATCTTAATCTCCTTGCTTGAGTTTAGCATGAAGAGAGAAAATTCATTTTATTAAAGATTTATCTAAAACGAGAGAAACTACAGTAAAACTTACATTTAGATTGATGAATATTGAATCTTCCACTTTCAGTAGTTATATGATTTTATATGTTCAGCAAGATAAACCCCATGTACTATATGGTGTATGCATTATGAGGTTGTCAAGAAAGTTATAATTAAGAAAGCATACAACCAGGTTGTTTGTGAATAAGTTGTCCTTTCATGCAAGATGACATCTTTTTAAGAACTAGGAGTTTGTCTTTGATAATAGAAGGAAGTGCATTCTGCTTGTACATACTTTTATGTGAGAAGACACAAGTTTGTATAACTCTTGAATCCGTAAACAGAAAAATTTGCAGTGATACATAATGTTTGATGATTTGTAAGGAACAAAGAAAATTTGCACACCTAAAAGTACAAGGGAGTTACATTATTTGTTTGACGGTAGAATATCTTATTTGTTATTACAAGTGTGTTTCTCATCCCCAACCATTTCAGTTTGGAATTACTTTTCACGTGTGAATTAGATCAGGAAGGTTTCTCTGTCCATTATGTTCTGAAAATAAAAATTTGGAAAATTGTGTTAATAGGCATAAAAGTTTGCAGTCAACAATCACTTATTTCATGTATAATACAGTACACTGTTATTTATGCAGAAAACTATGTAGATGTAACCATGAAAAAAGATAAGAGTATTAATCTACAAAACTTTGGAAACTTTTGCAACAAATTTCACAATGGTCTTTCTGTTGTTTCTCAACCGAAACTCATCTGAAATCATGGTTGAAACAAAATGGCCATACATCAAATTCACAATTACTTGTGCGCATTTCTCCAAGTTGGAGCAACAAAATATAGCCCTGTCATTGGTTTTATCTGGAGAGCTACACTATTTTACACTGTTTGGACAAGGAAAAAAATAGTAAAGAAATAAGATGGAAAAAAATGTAAGAGAAAAAAAATGATGAGAAAGAAAGTTGACTTTTAAATAGTTTGGATTAAGAAAGAAAAGAAAGAAAATTTTTCTCATTGCTTGTTTGGTTGGATAGAAAGTGATAACAAAAACTAGGAAAGTTTCATTATATACAAAGAAATATATATCGTTTAATCTTCATATTTCTCAAAAAATATATTATTGAAAAAATGCTATTTCATTTAATTGGGATAATACAAATTATTCCATCACTCTTCTATTTTTTTTGGCTCATGGGATGAAAAAGTTATGCACAAAATCCAAAGCATTTTATTTGCTATTTTCATTATTATCCAAGTTGTTGAAGAACTCCACTTCTTGGCTAAATCTTTCCTGCTAATTTCTCAACAACCAAACCAAGCATTGGTGTATTCATACAAATGCATTGTGTTGATTGGATTTATAAGATTGTCATAAGTTGGTCCTATTGGGAAGATTCTTGTGTAAATTCTTCTGATAGTAAGACTAATCTGTACTCAGGTTCTCTTTGGAAATAATCTTGTACGATGTTGAACACTAATCTATTTTGAATTTGATATATCATTCTGTCCTAAAATCTGGTACAGGAGCATACCTGACCTTAGGCAGAATTAGTAGAGGGTCATTGTGTTCTTGCCTTCCTGGTACTGCTGTGTAAGAGTTGGAGCAGCAAAAGATACTACTCCTAAACTCAAATTATAGGCAGTGCTGGAAGGCTAGTTTCTGAGGTTGAAAATCCCCTTTTTTTCTGCAGTGGATATAGCTTACTTGGAGAGCAATTCTTTAGACTATGATACTTTTAATTTAGGGATTGAGATTAGAGAAGTATCTTGGGGATTTTATCCCTTTATACCTTGATACTGTAAGTAAGATTTGATGTGGTCTATGCCAGCTTCTCAAGTCCATCATGAAATGGAAGGAGAATTACAGTTGTTTGTTTGTTTGTTGCTATTTGCATTTTTAATGACTATGATTCATGATTATGGGTTGCGATAGGGCATTCATTAGCATTTTGAAACTTGTATTCTGGGGTCTATGTATTGAAACTTTACTTGACAAGCACTTCTCAATGTGTGAACTTAACAGCAACGCTCTCATGTACCCAAATTTGGCAACTGGGATAGTGGAGATAATGTTCCTTATACAGCATATTTTGACAAGGCCCGGAAAGGTAGAACTGGCGCAAGGATAATAAACCCAAATGACCCTGAGGAAAATTCAGATTTAAGTGCTGAGAATCTATCATCTGATCAACTACCTCCTTCCAAACCCAGAGTATTTTCAGAGGATCCACCCAGAAAGGTGTCACTGCATTCAGAGGATGACCCTAAGCATTTCATAGACTCTCCAGCTCGTCATGACAATGCAGGCAGTAGAAGTGGCAGCAGAAGCCATGGTGTAGGTTCCGCTGAGAACCGTAGAAGACCTTCAACGCAAAGCACTGGTTCTGAGTTCAGCATTGACCGTTCGCCGCTTCATCGCCAGGCTAGAGCCCCAGGCCGAGACAGTCCCCAATGGGAAGGGAAGAATTCTTATGAAAGCAGCCAGGGAACACCAGGGAGATCTCGGTTCAAACCTCGGGGAGATGAAACAGTTGGTTTTCTTATCTGCTTTTCTCTGTTTTTCTCTGTTTTACCATGCATGGCATGAAAAATAAGAATTTGCATGTGTAGTACTAAGGATACTATAACATGAAGGGCATTGCAAGAAATTGTTGAGAGGGATCTCATGATAAATAGTATTAGTGAAAAATTGGTCTTGGCCAAGGCAAATGGCGTTGTGTGATCCATATAACCAGCCACATCTAGTGAAATAAGAGTCTGTTTGGATGAATTTCTCCAGAAACATTTTTAAAAGAGAAAAATTGGAAGAAAAATCCAAAACAACTTCTCACTAAGTTAAAACTAGTTTATGCATGAGTTAAAAGTAAGATTTTGGAGACGTTAATAGGAGAAAACTTCTACAAAATAGCTCATGCATAAAATAATTTTAGTTTATGGAGAAACTCGTGTCATTTTTCCATTTTTCCTTCCTATTGTGCCCTCCTAGAAATAATTCCAGAGAAGTTTATCAAAACATATCCTAAGACTTTTGTTGTTATTGTTATAGGACTAACTTGCAAGGATTTGACCATGGTATCTTGGTCTTGGTGAGTTTTTATTTTGTAAATGTTTTATGATTTTGGCATTCTGATGTTGCAGCCTGATAAAGGTGCAGCTGTTCCAAAGTTTGGTGATTGGGATGTGAATAACCCAGCATCAGCTGATGGCTTTACTCACATTTTCAATAAAGTGAGGGAGGAGAAACAAGGTGGGCCAGGACAAGTGCAAGGCACGCCAGAGAGACCACAAGTTATCAGGGGCAAACCTACCAATGACAAAGTCCAGGTATGCATGCTTACAATGAGTGAGTTTTTTTTTAACTTTTTTTATTATTATGCGGGAGTCGAACTCAGTACCAAGGAGATTTATGAGTATAACAATTCGACCAACTGAATTAGACCATTATAATCAATGAGAGATAGTTGATCTGTTAGTTTTTGTTTTCCACATACTGATGTATACCTTTATGCTATTTCTTGCTTCTCCAGTGTTGCTGCTTTGGGTGGGGCAAAAATTGATTTCTTGGAAGTGTGAATGGTTTTCTCGACAGAAATGATGGTAAAAATAGTGATGTGAATGGTCATGAGGTGTGTCTAGCTCTTGTAAATATCCAAGGCTCTCTCTCCGTGCGTGAAGACATCGATGAAGTAAATTTATCGCAACTACTTTGTGCCTTGCTAATATCCCAAAAACATGCTCTGTATGCAAGATTGTGAAATTTCTTTCTTTCTTTTTGAGCCTTCTGTTGTGTTACTGTTATGGTTTACGATTCAAATTAACTGTATCTACCAGAGATATAGAAGGATATTTGTTATATAATTCTTTTCCAATGAATTGATGGGTTGTGACTTGGGTTCTGTTTTGTTCATTTTGGTGTTGAACTCTAGTTTAACAGGGAATGATCAAGTAGCAAATTGTTTCAATAATTGATCTTCTCATGGTCTTTCGTTGTTTTTCTAATTATTAGAAATTACAATAATAGTTATAAGTTTTGAATCTAATAACTTGTAGATACAACTACAGCCCCTTTGATTAAGTTCATATTCTGTTTGTTTGTTTAAGTTAAATATTATAGGTGTTGATATTATTAATTAAGTTCATATTCTGTTTGAATTTGTCACTTATTGTTAAACTACTTAATGCACCCATTTTGAATTCTAGAACCATGTTCTTCCTTTAAACTTTTGGCTGATATGCTGGGAGTACTATTTTTCTAGCAAGCCATTGTGGGACTGAATGATGTGTGCATTGCGTAAAGAATGTTTCATAACTTTCTCCATTCTTTTAATTATATTCTGTTTGCATAAATTTTTTCAAAAATATTCTAAGAGAAGAAAATAAGAAAAAAAATAAAATAATTCTTTTCATAAGTTAAAATTAGTTTATACATAAGTTAATTTAATGAAATTATTTTTTATTAATTTCTCAAAAATCTTATTTTAACTTGTGTATAAATTAACTTGTTATAAAATATTATTATAAAAAGAACGAAAGAGAGTATTGTGTCACGTCACTAGTCACCGTCCTAAAGGAAATCAATTCGTTGACAAATATATAAGAATTACTTTTAATATCAATGTTAACAAAGTAATTAATATGCCAATTGCAATAATAAAATAATTAGTAGTTATAGGTCATTCTTTCCACAATCTCTCACTAATGACATATAAGTGAAGGAGAGAGAAAGCAAATTTTGGGGCAACACCTTATGTCTTAAAAAGTGAGTTACTTTTAAACTTAATGAATTTAAGACGAGACCTTCACAATACATCTTGAGGTTAGCGGAAATACACACAGAAGGGGAAGTTGAATGTGTGTTAGGATTTAAAGGAAAGTTTTAAAAATATTTTCGTAAGCGTACTTTTGGTTGGAAAACTTAAGCAGAATTTTCGTCTAGTGACTTTTGTTGATCCAAACTAATTTTCAACATAGAAAACTAAGTAGATTAGGTTTCCGTCTGAAAAATGTTTATTGTCTAGTAAAGGTAGTTTTCACAAGGTCAAGTAAGTCTTGCGGATGATGAGCCTTCATTTGCCAGTTGCGATTGACTGACTCTCTATCCTCTCTTTCATCTTGTTGAGTTGCTATTTCTTCAGACTCAAGCTTTTTCGACTGATCATTGTTTACCTACTTATTTTCAAAGAAATTGCCCACCCAAAATGTTAAGGTGTTTTCAAGCTTGTAGACACCCAATTTCGTCTGGGAGCACACAAACGGACCTCCGTTATGAAGGGAAGGAGCTTCCGAAGCAGGCAAACAACAAGACAAGACATCAGAAGGCCTAAAGGCCAAATAAGGTGGTTTTAGTAGCCCGGAACGGGCTGTTCCAAAATTGGAACGGGCCGTTCCAAAATTAGAACGCGCCGTTCCAAAATCGGAACGGGCCGTTCTGAACACCAAAACGGGCCGTTCCAATATCAGAACAGGCCGTTCTAACGTAACCAAAAACACCTTAACATTTTGGGTGGAACGGGCCGTTCCAATACCAGAACGGGCCGTTCCAAGCAAGGAAAATTTGGAACGGGCCGTTCTGGAAAGGGAAAATTTGTGTTAATTTCTACACTAGAACGGGCCGTTCCGTTTACAGAACGGGCCGTTCCAGGATACGAAATTTGCACATAACGATTGGGCTCGAACGAGCCGTTTCGAATCCGGAACAGGCCTTTCTGGCCCCTTCTGATTCCTATAAATAGAAGCTTCGGGCACAGTTCTCAAGGCGGCCAGAGAAATTTCGAATAAGACTCCTTTGAGCACGAAAATTCTCTATCTCCCTCATTTTTATTGTATTTCTTGAGATTTGTGTCGCATCTCTATCTTCTCTCTCCCTGCTATTGTATTTCTTGAGATTTGGGAGACATACTAAAGTGTGAAAGGTAGCCACAAAGCACCTTCTCCATATTTGAAGATTCAATAAAGCTTGTTCAAGAGGTATTTCAGTCAATCTTCTTCTCTTCCTTTTATTCCTCATCTTTATCTCTTTTTTGTTATAATAAACGTCATAATGTACATATTTTAGGGTTAATCGCTTAATTTATATTTTAAGCATGTAAATAAACATTAATAAAGGGATTCAATATTTAATTTATTAATTCTTATCGTGTTAATTTCATCATAGGGTACCAATTAAGGGCGTTGTAGGAGTGCTTAATACCTTCCCTACACGTAACCGACCCCCGAACCCAATTCTGGTTATCAAGGCCATTATTGGACTTTTGAAAACCTTTTCTTTTTCCAATGTTTTGAGTAAAACATTGGTGGCGACTCCATGAACCTATTTTCAAAACCATTAATTAAGGATTAGTCTAGTGTTCGGGCATTCCTTAATTGATGAGATTTTCAAAAGGATGTCTAAACCATAGGTCGCGAGATCGGAAATTTTTGGGTTGCGACAGATGGCGACTCCACTAGGAACGTTTTAAGAGGGTTAGGCCTAATAAATGATGAAGTTAGTAAAATAGGAATAATAATTTAAATATTTTTTTCCCTTTACTTTGTCTTTTATTTGTTTTGCTTGCATATCTGTTTGCTTGTTTAAATTCTGCACCTGTTTGAATTAAATTGTACACAATCCTTTGCACACAACAGTTCCCCCTACACTCGGGAGCATGAGGGTATTAAACATAGGGAGTGGTTGACGTACGACTGGCCCAAGTTTGGACTTAGAGCCTGCGAGCCTTGTCGGAAATCACACTTAAGGTGATAACCGGTTACTCTAGCCCGAAATACTGCGACAGACCTTAGAGTTTGCTAGGTGACGGCGACAGAGATACTGGGTCCCTATAATGGGGGCACCTTGGGAGCCTTGAGAACTAGTGAGATTAGAACTGTCCTATACAATGCACTTTTCTTACAGGGACCACAGACCAAGGATTTGAATACGATCGTTCGTGGGTGTATATTGATTGAGCATGTGTCTGTGCATTTGTTTGTATTATTTCTTCTAATAAGAGTGGATTGGAATTTTAAAATAAGCAAACAGATAATAAAAAAAAATAATAAAATAATAATAATAATAAAATTTTATACCCCTTTGTACATTCTTAGGTCATCATTCCATTAATATCATATAGATAACTTCCTTTTTTTTTTAAAATAATAATAAATAAAAGAAATCTCATCTTTACCATGCATCATTTCTCTTTAGATAATAGAAACATGATAAAGATTAGGCAAAAAAAAAATGACATACATTATAGATTAGCTCATTCATTTCATTCATTTTATTTTATTAGCTAAGGAGGATTAGGTTGTAGTACATATAGAAAGTTAAGAAAAGTGAATGTATACTTCCAAATCCAAATAATTTAAAATAAAAATTTATAAAATATAAGTTCATAAACCGCTTTTTAATCATATTATCATACAACATAATGTAATCCATGCTGACAACTCGACCCCTGTTCATAATATAATCCATGTTGACAACTACACAACATAATATCATACAACTTTAAATTGCTTTTCAATCCACATGATAACACCTTAGAACATCAAAACAATATGCATTTTCTTTCAACAACTGTAAAAAAAAACAACACAGGGAGTTATACTAATCCAAATATGCTCAAAACTATCTCAAAAGAAATGTAAGAGAATAATATACAACTCTTATGAAGACATGAAATTATAAAAAATATCATCTACTTAGCTAAAAATTTCAAAATTCGAAACAAATATAATCCATGTTGACAACTCGACCCCTGTTCACTAAAATAACCATAACTAGCACTACAAGAAAAATGCAAATTACCGACGGATACAAATCTGTCAGAAAATTTATATTTTCGATGGAAAAAAAAATCTGTCAAAAAATTTATATTTATGACGGATAAAAATCCGTCGGAAATATAAATTTTTCGACGAATACAAATTTGTCAGAAAATTTATATTTTCGACGGATATATCCGTCAGTAATATAAATTAAAAGTTATTAAATTTCATCGATCCAATTATTAAGTTAAAACTATTATTTAAGTATTTGTAATTATTTTTATTTTAATATTTTAATATTTAGTATTTTAAACCATTTTAACTATTGATAAATTTTAATATGATAAAATTTAGCTTATAAATAAAAGAATTATTTTTTTCTTCTAATTTTATGTATTTTTATTTTTTAAAAATTTATTTTTTTGAACCATTATTTAGGCCTGCGGAACGGTCCATTATCCGCGGATTTTGGCGGGTCAGATAAGGACTTAAAAATAAGTCCATTTATTTTATGGACTCGACTTATCCAGCCCGTATAAAACACGGGTTTTACGAACCAGGCCTTAAACGGGTAAGACTGGTCTGTATACCTACTCCTATTCAAAATACGTGTTTTCAGTAACTTTCATTTAAGGTTTCCAAAAAATTCATAAATATTAAATAAAAGCCCCATTTAAGGGTATTTAATTTTTCATCAAATTTCATATAAAAAAGCAACACATAATTAATTGAAATTTTTTATTTTATTATATAACGTTGTTCATGTTGATAAACAACTTACCCTTAACTTGGACAATTTAGCCTTGTATGTTAGTTAAAAGTTTAAGCAATTAATTACTTTGCTTAAGGTGATTGAATAAATCTTGGTGTATAAATTATATAGTGTTAGAATAAGTTTTCTCATTGAATTGTTTACCAAATGGCTAGACAATTTTTTCATTTTAATTATGCTCAAAAGAAGGGGAATTAATTACTTTGTTTAACGTGATTGGAAAAATATCATAAAAAATTAGTAAAAGCTACAATTAATTAAGCATATTTAAGTTTTATATTAAACTTATTATACATCAATAATAAACTAATTTAAAAATTTTTATTATAAAAAGTTGTTAAAGTTGAAAATAATTAACCAAAAATCCGGACAATTTATGCATCTTT